TGTAATCGTTGGCAACAGTAAATGAGTTAAAAGTCATTATTTTTGTGCTAAATTATCTCACTCTTTTAGTATATACTGAAAAAACAATATTATTATTCACCTCGGTGTCGGTGGCTAGTGGTGGTTATTTACCTCACCGCTGCACGTCCTCAGTAAATTTCCACCACTAGCGACCTCCACTTCGGTGAATAATTATCTCTTTATAAGTGATATAAAGGATCACATCCTAACCACCACCCAGAAAGATTGGGTTTTGTACGAGATACGCGGCAGCCATTCTCAATAATTTATGCAAGGGAAAAGGAATTCATTTTTTGGCGGACACAACTCATTTGCCCCCAGGTTGTCCGTCTCTTCTCAGCCCGTTAAGCCCTGTTTACAAGGAAGGAGGATAAAGGGTTACCCTACCACTCACACATTTCTTCTTTTTTATAAGATGTGTTTACAAGGGCAGGTAGGGTTAGCCTAGCACTAGGGTAACCCTACCTGCCTCACAAACACCCTGCTAGGGATAACTCACCTACCCGTAACAACTTTTGTCCTTCATGTGTGACCAGTGGTCTTGGCTATTTGAACGGAATTATCTACAACTTTTGTTTTAAAATCCAACCTGTCGATTGCATTTTTTTTGCAAGTCAAAAGAACATTTCTTGTACGCCATGTACACCAAAAACTAGCTTTCCTAATGCTCTTATAACTGCAAATGCATGAATTCAAAGTATACCCAAGTAATTTAAGGCGCCACAAGAAGGCACAAATAACAGAATAAAATTCACCTACGCTCATGTTAACTTGATTTTCAAGCCTTCACTAGAATCAGGAAAAGAAGATAAACAAACCAATAAACACTGGGAAAGTTTCATTTGTATTGTAACCTCTTTTTTGCGAAAATTATACCAGAAAGTAAAATCGGCCTGACCAGGGACTGGCCGGACATACTCTATACCCGGCTGAATATTCTGATTTTTCTGCCGATTTTAGCCTGAAAATATTCTTCCATTATTCTTGATTTATTATGACATTTCCGTTTAGAATGTATTGAATGTATCACTGAACATTTGGTTATAGCTAGGACAGGTTTTTTCGTTTTGTTGGCTTTTTCTGCTTTTGAGAAAAAGGGATAATTTTATACCGCCAAGTTAGAGACATAATTGTATTGTATTATTTACATCTATCACCGCAGAAAGTTCAATTTTCATTTTCATTTATTCGGGAAACCACTTCAAGCAGAGATAACATAAAAATCCGTTTTTTTGCAGCTTTTTTACAGACATTTAAAAAGCCAGGTACCTGTCAACCTGTACTTATTATTTACAAGTTAGGATCCAAGCTTACAAAGCCAGAAGGCAGCTTGTCACAGTAGACTGGAACTACCCCTTTCTGTCAGTGAGAATGGCGAAGCAAGCCACACAAGAAAGTACAATCAAAGAACCAAAGAGTGAAACATCAAAGTGGTCAAGGTCTCTAAAGACTTCACGTGTATTCCTTTCTTGATGGTAAAGATCTTCAAACAAAGAATCGACGACAAGAGTCCAATAGATCGCCATATCTCTTTGTCTGACGTAATCCTGCAAGAATTGCTCCAACAATTGCGCAAGTACCACCTCAATACTCGAAAGAGTTGTTCCTTAAACACCAGTCAAGGTTTTCAAAATGCAAAAATGATTTATTTTCAGTGGAACAGTAAACACAAACCAACAATGAGTGATAATTGTCTTAGACAGCGAACTTGTCTGTGCTATACCTATGTAAATAATTATTATGGTAGTTGATTGTCTGAAGCTGCGTTCACACTAGTGCCAAAACATGCTCAGACTAAACATGTTTCAAAAATAATCTCACCAATTTCATCAAATTGTAATTGTCGTCAACGTCAAATGTTATTCTTCACCAACTTTTACTATTCTAGCCGAATGCGAATTTTGTGACATTTGCTCCAAGTTAGAAGGGTTGAAGTTTTAATGAAACACTTTGAAGCTGCCAGTGTGAATGCAGCATTAGAAAGGTAATTTTTTCTCTAATCACTCTGCAGTGAAACGAGAACAAATCATTTTCACTCTAGAAACCATGAAATGCAGACAAGAATCAGGAATAGGCATCTTGTTTATTGATAGCTAGAACATGGGCAAAATACATGAATAAACATACTACAAACTACAGCTAACGAAGACGTAAGCTAACAATAATGTCAATAATGTACAATCTGGTAATAACCTTTCTGAAAGATTAAATATAATGACAAAAAAGATAAGAAAATTTACAGAACGGTAGCGAGAGATGCTGTCAAGTGACCTTGAATCTGCAAAGAACACCTTATATACTTGATAACAAATAATCACGCACACTGTCAAAATAACTCACGCGACAAATACCAACACATCCGTATGCAAAGTACTGAAGCAACGTGCATGCCTTTACGCGAGAAAATACATCACTATAAGTTCTTTACCCACTTACATGAAGAAATGGATGAGGTTTGTGGTAACAACAACCTCTACCTACTGGTGTGAAATCCTGATCGGCTACTAAGGGTAAACAGTCCATTTTTCTGGGCTAGAACTTTTCAAAAGAAGAATTCTTGCTTTTGTGGGGTTTGTTGGTTTTAACTTATGTTTTCTTTCTTTCTTTTTTTAATGCACGAATAGACCAGTTCATGTAAGATCTTATTTAAGGTGGCATACCATTAGATTTTGCGAAACATGGCCCATTCTTACCAGTTGAGACAAAAAAAATTAAAAGAAGTGACAAACAATTCAATGTTCAATCTTGAATATCCATTCAGATCAGTCTACCGTATTCCTCCATAGTATGCATAGTAGTGATGGGTTATAGTCAAAATTTCGAAAAATATCAGCCATTTCTGTCTTCTGGTAGGCCCCCTAAAAATTTGCCTTGGTACTCACTATGGAGGTGGTACAAGGCTTACAACCCCTGGGCTAATAGTGTATATTGGAATTGTTTTATTTGAAATCAAGGCTAGCGGTGTATATAGGAAATGTTATATTTGAAAGTAAGGCTAGTGGTGTTCATTGCATTACTGTTCTATTTTAAATCAAGGCTAGTGGTGTATTTTGGAGTAACAATGATAATATTCAATGCAAATGTTTCTTCCTTTTCATTAGCCAAGAGCCCACCACGTGACCTGCAAATAACTGCCTACAAATAATGGTGTGCTCATGCGCAATGTCGTTCAACTCTTTTGGCTGCAAACACTATTCTGCTCATGCGTAAATAAAACCACGCTTAGAACTTAGAAGAGAGCAATTTGGCATTTTTACTCGATCAAAAGAACAGTGAAAATACGAAAAAGGCACAAAAGTTGCTTATAACGTATTTCGATAATATCTAAAGGAAAAAAAATTGACAGTCACTCATTTCATCAAAAGAAAAGTTGGTATCTGTTATGAGAAAATTCTACACTGAAGTGCAGAAAAGGAATGGTGAGCTTTGAACCAAATCTTCACTTGTCAGGATACGCTTTGGCCTTCAGCAGTTCTTCAGTTCACACAACATTGATATCATCAAAGACCCTGAGTTTTCTGGAGCCAATGCAGTTTATCAAGCGGAAATTTCAGAGCTTAAACGAAAGGAAAAGCTCACTCACTACACAAACCACCAATAAACAAAGATGACACAAAGAAACTGTATGAAAGTGGATCTTGTAGTTTAACTCACCTGGGGATATTCCAAAACAAGGTTTTTTTTGGAAATCATGCTTTTCTTCTGTAGAAGAGGACGCCAGAACTTGAGAGAATGAAAGAAGGAAGATTTCTCTGTCTGTACCGATTCATCTGGCGTAAGATATGTGTGCAAAGTGAAAGATAAATTGACAAGAAACTGGCGGGAAAACAACGAAGCCCAGGAATCACAATGTTTGAAACTGGTGGGCCTTTTTGCCCAGTTCTGTGATTTGAAAAATGTCACTTGTCTTAACCTGAAGAACGAGTACCTTTTTCAGAGGCCCAAAAAAGGAGAAGATGAAAGTGATAAAGTCTGGTACAACAACATGGTCATTGGCCAACGCACTCTTGGTGAGAAGATGAAGAAGTTGTCTATCGAAGCAAAGCTTTCTTGTGTGTATATCAATCATTCAATCAGAGCAACTATGATCACGAAACTTGACAAGTCAGGATACGAAGCCCAGCATATAATGGCAGTGTCAGGTCACAGGAATGAAAGTAGTATCAGGAGTTATTCTTCAAACAAGCTTGAGCGTGAAGAGGAAAATGTTACAGACATTATCCAAATCACTGAACAATAAGAAGACTGTAAAGCATAGCGAGATTCCTGCCACTCAGTGATCGAATGAACAACAAATAACGATATTTTGCTCAACCTCGTCCAATAATTGCTAATTATTCTATTTAAAGTAAAGGCTACGGTGTATATTGGATAATTTTCTCATTTGAAACCAAGAACAGCTAAATCAAATAAATAAGAAAATAAGTAATAGTAAAAAGCTAGAAAACTGAAATTGTATGGTAGCTGTATATATTGTAGTTAGATATGCTTTGAACAGCCACCCATTAGAAACTCATGGCATCTGTTTTCGAAAAAGCTTTTTTAAATTTTTTTAAAGCTTGAACATGATTTCATCTTCTGTTTTCTTCATTACAGCCATAACCGTGGCTATACATTACCATACATGGAAAAAGAAAAGCTGAAGCAATTGAAAAATTCAAGCACAACATACTAAGTGAAGGTTTATCACAAATTTCACACCTGTCACTAAGATATCATGTTCCTGGGTATATGCAATTAGTAGGTAGAAATTTGAACAGCAAGGAAGTTCTGTTAATTCTATTTTCCCTTTTTTTCTTATAAAAGTAGAGGGGGTCATGCTCATAGTAGCTAGGGGAATTCCCTGGCCCCAAGCCCTTAGTGGAACCCCTTGATTATTTACATTATTGTGGTCTGAAACCCATTTATATTCCAGTCAGTGAAGGATATTGTCTTTTAACTCGGATCACTACAGAAGCTGTGGCAACCGTGCGATTACCTTTAGAAGCTAAATTGTCTGTTAGCAGCTTTGCGGAAGGAAGATGTACTGGTATCCTCACGGTCATTCCTAATATCTGCCTTATTTCTAATGCACAGTTCGAGTACTTCTGGATGCAGACACAGTTTTTTAAAATGTCTATTTGTTGTGTCACACTTTCTTTGTCCACAGCATTTGTTCTCAATCTCTCGAGCCATAGGTTAACAGTGTCTGCATTTGCACCAGTCTGGTGCTGGTTCCCAGAGTGGAGGCTTTGAACATCCACTGTCTGTAGGTGAAGTCTCCTCACTTTCTTCAAAATTATTCACACCATTGTCATCATCATCACCATCCTCCATGATCACAAGACGGTCTATATACTCCATACTCTGAACACCCCGACTCAGTACCCCTACACATAGCTGATGCACCATGTTATCATTTAAAGTTGATATGAACTCCTAACGAAAAAAGCAATTACAATCAATACTATATTTGCACACGCTATCAAAAGGCTCATTCATTTTTGACAAAAAAATTCAACAGAAAACAACGAATATTTCAGACAACCTGCAGACAAATATACTGTTTTGAAATAATAGTTTAGTGGAGGACATTCAAATATAATAAGGTATTGGAAATCTAAAGGCCTAAGTGAATAGTTTATATGGCAGCAAAGGCGAACCATAAAACACATGCGAACGACTTGATGGATGCAATGGCGGAAAAGCAAAACTCCTGCTATTAGTTGTATGCTAATGAGACTTGAGTGGACTACTGCACATCATGTCATCCTCTTCCCCTTCGTCTGATTCGGAGTTGTCGAAACTGCCATATTCTTCGTCATTTTCTCTCAAAACTTCAGCTAACAGTTCTTCGTGTGATAGAATACGCCATCTTTAAATGTCCTATTATCACGCGCAAAATCTGTTAAAAAATTGGCTAAAACATTAACAATTCCTTCAAGATCTTACTTCCAAACAGTATTTTACGACATTCTGATATGTTTACATAACATATCTAGTGCTCAGGGCCACTATAGGTACACCATAATCCTTTAGTGACCCTAGGCTGGAGTAACTGGGCCGAAATTAAACCCCCAGCAGTTAATACAGTGGGCCTTGTCTATAAAAAATTGGCCAAGCGTGTTATTCACACTCATAATTTGCATCAAACATTTGTCATTTGAAGTTGTAATAGTTTTAGGAGTGGTGAAGAGGAACTTGTTTGATGGGTTAGGCACAGGTAGTGTCAAACAACCATTTTCCCCTTATCCTTCATACTTGAAAGAAGATAACACATTAAGTCCAACCCTATGCAAGTGTTGCACCTGATCAACTATAAGGGCAATCAGAGGAGTGACAGCAATGGTGACTCCAGGAGGAATGAACCTCAGCACTGTGTAACACACAGTCTTTTCACCACCGGTTGGCATTAGTACAACGCAGTAATTTTTACTTAAAATGGCATTGATGGTGTCTATTTCCCTGCCATGAAATGTATGATATCCAAACACTGTTTTAAACTGTCTATGGCCACATCACCTGTCTGGCTATGTCGTAGTGGTGTCTCATTGATCATTTCAGCCTCCTCCTCCATAGAGGTAACAAAATTGTCTAACACTTTTAAAGCAAAGCTATCACTAATTTATTTTAAGACAAACAAGATGAGTTTTAAATCACTACACAAAATTGGTTCACAATGTACCAGGTAACATCTCAAAATGGAAGGGGTTTAGAGTAGATCATTCTGTGAAATGAGAGGAAAAGAATACATTTGCAGTATTTTTAGACCCTGTTCATCCACAAAAAGTGGACTGGAGCAACTTACTGCTTACAATGCAGTCATCCAGAAGTGATCTTCTTACCAAAAATCAAAGAAGCAGCTGCCTTGTTTATGAATTAGTCGTGTACCATGGAGGTAAGAAACATTTTCTAGCCTTTTTGAGACCCACTTTGGACAGGCAGTATGTTTACGATAAAGTTCATTACAGTAAATGTTTTTGAGACTTAATGAATGCCTACTATTGATTATGGTAGGTTCCTATATTTATTATGTTAGCAAGGTACAGTGACAGAGGATTTCACAAGACTAGATCGAAAGGTATCGTAATACAAGGATATTTTGTTAAAAAAGTATAATAATTTCACTAGATTAATTACTTCAGTACAAATTTGTGGACTGATTTGCTTTTTGAGCAACCATTCGATTCAGAAATCTGAAAACACATTTTTTTGGAACATCTCTCAATTTATGATGAATCAAATATGTCAATAATAATCTAAAAGTATTATCCTACAAAACATGGCCCTAATTTGCAACGGTGCCCTTGGATTTCGTGTCCTGAAATTCTTTGCAACCATTCCAAGCTTTGAATTTCACCAGTAAGCTCGAGGTGGAAAGTTTTGTTAAAACTGGGATGTTGCCTGTCAAGTATTCTGTGAATCGGCCAGTATGTCACATATACCTAGCAAACATGTTGGTAGCCTCTTTGGTCGTTTTGTCACAACTCATCTGCCATCACGATAGCAAAGATAGTTTCATCACTCGAAACCTAACGTAATTAATAGGGTAGACATTAATTAAGCTTCAAAATTCAAAACTCATGTAAATACTTCTTCTCCTGACTGCTTTTCGAAGAGCTTAAGATGTTTCTTTCCTCTCTGGCGTGCAGCTTATTTATTAAAAAGCAGACTGCATCTTCAATGATTGGTAGGAAAGTCACGCCTGGGTGATAAAGCCTGTAATGTTGCTAAAGGCCAGTTCTTTGGAAGAAAACAGCCTTCTCACACATAGGGTGTGGACAAGTAGTTTTATTCTCCAACTGTGCAAAGTGAACCGTTTTAAATTCATTTCTGAAGATTTTGTACTTGTGTTCCATTACTCTTCCCCCCATAAGAGATCTGCCAGACTTCTCGCCTGTTTCCCCTTCCCGCCTTTTCATTGAGAGAGATGCCTGGATACGAGGCAGTTTTTTTTTTAAATTTTTATTTATTTTAACAACAACAACAAAAACAAATGACATACAAGTAAAAAGTGACAAATGAGAAAAAAACATCAATTGAGAGGAGAGCAACAGGCTAAAAGCAAATAGCGAGGTTAATACATCTTGTCTAATTTTTCCTTTTTCACTCCCTGCTCTTTCGTTTCCTTTTTTTTCCTTGGGTAAAAGGGCACAGTCAAAACAAAACAAAACAAAAAAAGATGTAGAGAAGATATATATATTTAATTAAGTTTTGGAGACTCGGGTCAAAAGGCTTATATAAGGCAGCAAGGGCTCCCATTTTTTTTGACAGTAAAGGCATTGTTGTCTAGTTGATAAATGTGTTTCAAATAAAGCAAAACGTTGTTTGCATTGGGAAGATATTCTTTTAAGCGACAAAGCCAGATATAGTGCTTGGCAATTACGCAACAAAAATTGATATGGAGTTTGTGTTTAGATCTATCTGGCCTCAGACCCAAAGCTGCTTTTATGAGTAAGTAATTAAGTTCACCCAAAGGAAGTTGGCAAGACTGCATCCACTTAAAAAGACTATCCCAAACGTTTTTTGTTTTTTTACCATCTCCAAAATAAGTGCATCAAGTTTTCCACTTCCTTATTACAAAAAGTGCACTTATCATCCTCTCTAAGTTCGACTTTTTTTAAGAAACAGTTGGTAACAGGCGATGTAACAATTTGAAGTTTAGAGTGATAAGTTTACTGCTCTTTGTGCATTTAAGAGCGACGGTCAGGAAAAATCGACCAAAATCTTAATTTCGTGGCAAGAGTTGAAAAATGAATTCCTTTCATTTTTTGTTCATAGAAAGCTTTTAGGTAGATAAGAAACCTAATGTAGATTGTTTCCNAAGGCATTGTTGTCTAGTTGATAAATGTGTTTCAAATAAAGCAAAACATTGTTTGCATTGGGAGGATATTCTTTTAAGCGACAAAGCCAGATATAGTGCTTGGCAATTACGCAACAAAAATTGATATGGAGTTTGTGTTTAGATCTATCTGGCCTCAGACCCAAAGCTGCTTTTATGAGTAAGTAATTAAGTTCACCCAAAGGAAGTTGGCAAGACTGCATCCACTTAAAAAGACTATCCCAAACGTTTTTTGTTTTTTTACCATCTCCAAAATAAGTGCATCAAGTTTTCCACTTCCTTATTACAAAAAGTGCACTTATCATCCTCTCTAAGTTCGACTTTTTTTAAGAAACAGTTGGTAACAGGCGATGTAACAATTTGAAGTTTAGAGTGATAAGTTTACTGCTCTTTGTGCATTTAAGAGCGACGGTCAGGAAAAATCGACCAAAATCTTAATTTCGTGGCAAGAGTTGAAAAATGAATTCCTTTCATTTTTTGTTCATAGAAAGCTTTTAGGTAGATAAGAAACCTAATGTAGATTGTTTCCTCCAAAAGCCTTTTATTTGTAAGAAAAACTAGAAGATCGGTTTTCGATGTCGGAGTCTCAGACTGCCCTAATTTTTAACCTGAAATTCGCTAACATCAACTTTCCTCACGTTCGCAAACAAAGCCGTATGGAGAAATTTGGACACTTTCCACGAACAGAAAAATTCTTTTTCTTCCACTAGAACATACTTTCAGGGCAATAGCGAAGCTCGTCGTACTGAAATGATTCAAAAATGAGGGATAGGTTTTCAAGATAACAAAAACTTAAGTTCGTTACTCATCACCGACGGCAATATTTAACATGTGGTATAACTCCAAATTCTTTTCATGCTATTTAAATCACACATTTAGACAATCATTAAAAACATACCTGGGAATTGGCTTGGGTTATTGAAGGAAATCTCTGTAAGACACCATCGAAGTTCAGGAATTTTCATAGTAGGCCGAAGGTAATTGTGTAGACACTTCCAATTTCGAAATGCACAAAAATAGAAACTTAAGGCCTAAAGGCTCGTTTTTCGTAGTTCTTGTAGGTTTCCCCATTGTAAAGTTGCTTATTTCAATCAAAGAGTGGAGTAAAAGGGTGAAACTGGGTCAATTTTAGCTATTTTGAAACAGTGACCTCTACCAGCTGGCGGCTCCGCGTGACAATCTCTTCCGTGACAGCACCTGTCATAACGTACGTTTGAAGAGACGGTGCCGTCAAAATGACAGTCACGGAATCATGGTAGTAACGCAACGCAATTCTTGACAGAGTAACATTTTCGGTGCCGACAGTATTTTGAAGAAGAAAAATATCAAACGCGCTAGTAATCTGGTACTTACTTTTTATCGAAAAATAAGGACTTTAACAATGGTAATTCGCTAAGGATTACGGAACAGGAAGATATTTCTTCTTGTTACTTTACGATCGGGGAAACTTGGAGCCGTTAAGTAAGTTGTTTTGGTTACGCTTCACTATATTTGCCCGAATTCGATGCTTTCGTTTGGAGGCTGCTATTAGGAACCCAAGCCAATTCTCAGGTATGTTTTAGATGAATGTCTAAATGTGTGAATAAACGAGGACTGGGAAAATTTGGAGCTATACCACATGAAGAATAATGTTGCAGAAAACAACTACTAAATTAAAGTTTTTGTCACCGTAAAAACCTGTTCTTCGTTTTTGAATTATGTGAGTTCAACGAGTCTCGATATTGATTTGAAAGTACCTTCTATTGAGAGAAGAAGAGTTGTTCTATTGATGGAAGGTGTCCAAATTTCTCCTTGCGCCTTTATTTGCGAAGGCTAGGAGAGTTGATGTCAGCAAATTTCGGGTTGAAAATACGGCCATTTTGAGACTCCGACCACAAAAACTGATATTTTAACTTTTCTCGAAAATAAAAGGCTTTTTGCGAGAACAACTTACATCAGATAACTTATCTACCTAAAAGCTATTTATGGACAAAGAATGAAAGAAATCGATTTTTCAACACTTGCCACTCGATGGTCAATATTTCCTGACCGTCGCTCTTAAGGGATGTTTGATAAGCGACTTTCCAATTAATATTTTCCTTTGTTGGAAGGTTGATGTCTTTGCGTCACTTTCCTTGACATGAAATTGGCCTTTCACAGTTTTTTGACACAATTTCTTGGTAGATAAATTTAGATGGCTTTTGACTCATAAGAAATTTTGAAAAGCGATTTTCATACTTAGATTGGGTTTTGGTGTTTTGTCTTCATAGACAATTAACTGCTGAGACTGATCCTTTTTATCATTTTTGACATCTAAAACTAAATTGAAACTGCCAGCTATTATGATCTTGTCCCACTTGAAATCAGCCAAATGACTAAAAACTGTGGTGGAGAAATTTGAATCGTTGTTTGGAGTGTTAATGTTTGTCAGCGTTAATTATTTCCTGTTTACAGTCAAATCACAGATTTTAAAACGTCCCTCAGGATTGGAATATGCTTTAGAAATTTGGAAAATGAAGTTATTATTAAAAAGTATGGCAACACCTGCCTTTCTACTGGTGCAGCAGCTGAACAAAGCTTGATAGCCCTATTCGGCAAGGCAATCATTCTTATTGTTTTCTGTACAGTGCATTTCTTGACTAAAATATACTGAATTTTCTTTTTCTCAAATCAGTTAAAGACTTCTCGCCATTCGACGAAGTCTCCCAAACCTCTAACATTAATTGATCCTATTTTAAGGTCCATTTTTAGATGTTTGTGTCAGATAGCATCAACTGTCTACTCAAGGAGTTTCCTCGCAATAAAAAACAAATATGAGAAATAAAAAAAGATAAACAAGAGGTTAAATAAAATAACAGTAACGTTGGCAAAATTTAAACAGGGACACACACATTTAAATCAATAAAAGGTTATGGTGGCTGGGGACAAAAGACACACTTTCTTAGGCTCTCTCCTAAGTTTGAAAGAGAAACAAAACTAAAAAGCTAATAAAAAAAGCAACCGTCCGCAGTAGCACAAGTTATACAGTGTTTTTCATCAATCACACAGTGACGGATGGCTCGACAGCATTCGATTGTTTGAAGCAAATTACAAAAGTTATAAAAAGTTATGGAGGAAGTTCTTTGCCTACAGGCCATAAGCACCCTCTTATATACAACTTATGGTTGTGCTTGGCTGAAAGCCGCTGGGATTCCTCTTAGGTTTAGCCATTCATTCCTCAATGAACAGGAGTGAAGGGTAATGTAGGGCTAATCCCACAATGTGGCAAATCAATGTGACAAATCTAAGTATTTGGTAAATCTGTTGCGTGATAAATCCAGTATTTTAATGAATTCAAGGTAAGGTAAATCTGAATAGGAGGTAAAATTGTGACAGGACAAATGAAGCAAAATGTCCAATTCACTTGCTCGAATTTTGACCTTTTATTTGGCACCATAAACTTGTAGGATGAGGCATACATATGGAGAATATGAGGGAGAGGAAGGCATTTCAGAAGAAAAGGGTCTTAAGATTTCACAAGGTGCTGTTCATGAAGGGGTCCAACATGGGTGTCACACCATCCTAGGGAAATCATTACAGGATATTCCACCTGCCCCCAAAACGCTATTGTAACCTTAGGTAGAAAGAAAGGTGATCCTACACCTATTTGAAAGATTGTTTTTGATTACCTGGGAAGGCAATAGGGATTGGCACATAACAATGGCCCTATCCCTGAAAACAATGGAAGTGCAGATTAAAGGGGACCAGTGAAATAAGAGGTTTAGAACGATGCAAGTCTACTGGAAAAAAATGTAAATTATGCGGTAGATCTACCCACAGCAGAAAATCCCACGAGGACTGTTCCTATAAGCCCAAAAATGCCTTGAGGTATAGTTCACAACTGTTCTTCAAGTTTAGTTCATAGGATATCCCTTTCTTTTGGTTGCCGCTTTTTTAAAAAAATTATCTCTGGTTTGTAGTTATTTCCCCCATAAAATGTAAAGGTGTTTGCTAGGTTTCTTGACTTCTACAATAGTGATGCCTTGCAAAGTAATCAAACTAAATTCTTAAAATCCATGCAAATTTAACCATTCAATTTGATGGTGTAAAGGAGAACAGAAATACCCAGGGAAAAATATACTGCACAGAAAAAAAAATATATAGCATAACCTACAATGCAAGAAAATAATTCTTACACAGTTGTGTCGGGGAAAAAATTCTTAGCCAAACCAAATGACCCTACCCCCCTTAAATGTCAAATGGTCGATCAATAACATAATGTATAGTGTAAAACAAATTTTCTCCGAGTTCAAAGCCACATTTCGCGTGCAAGCGTATGAAAAATCGAAAATCGTAAATGCAGAGGATGATGAATGATTACCATTGTTTTAGGGTCATTTGCAGTGAACTGAAAAACGCAACATATACGCACGGTAAATCAATACTAAGCTGCACAACAATGCAACTCACATGTGCCAGGTGAGAGTGGCAAAAGCACACAACCATGAAGTTTGAATGCAGGACGATTTGTCTTTGTCCTGAAGTTACATGGGATACAATTGAAACAAGAAAGATATAAACATGTGTGAAATACAAAAAATGGGGCAATACAACCACTTCCTGGCCTGTTCTTTGCTTTCCTCTTGCTTTTGCTTGAAACCGTTAATAAGGCACTTGAGCCCGATAGGACTTCCCTGGATACAATTAATACCCGCTTTCTGGATGTGATGAGTTTCCGTTAGAAATGGATGGGGAATACATAAAATATTTTTTTTAAATAACACGTTATGATTCTGCTTAGTTTCATAATGTTTCATAAAACGAGAGATAGTGATAATCTCATAAAACAAGTGATGGTGATAAACTATTTGGGTGATGGTTTTGTAGGATGCCGTGGTAAGCATTTCATACCTGACAGGACCTCCTCTATTGCAGTGATTTCTTCCTCACAAAAATCTGTCATGCAGAATAATGGTTGGCACTCGGGATTCCATTCCTTTAAGATCTTTAGTGAGAAGATTTGGTTGAATACCTTCTAATATCCAATGGCTTTCTTGTATTCTGATTGGCTGTATTTCT